CAACTCTTGCATCGCATGATTATCTTGGCCAGTCTTTGCCTTCTCAAGTAGTTCTGTCTTTAAAGGAATGCTGGCTGCAAGGGTGGTGCAGCCGCTGTATTTACTTATGGCTCTTTTCTGCCATTCCTGTCTTTCTACCTCATCTCCCACATGGGCCCCTCTCAAAGTGCATGTTCTAGTTACATAAAAGGTCAAGAGATCTTCAAACACACAGTATGGTTTCATGTTTCTGTGCCTTGACATATGCTCTCCTTTTTCCAGGAATGTCATTCCCGGGTCCTTTTCCACCTAGCGAACTTCTTTTCATCCTTCAAATCTCTGCTCAAGCATTGCCTCTTCTAACGAAATTTCCCTGACTCTCCAAGGCCCGCCTTGTCCCTGTTAACTCTGTTAACAGAGTTAATCACTCTCTTTTCTGGATTACCCTTGGAATTTGTACTTGTTTCAATTTCTGAACCATTCTTAATTACTTAATGGTAATTATTTTTTTTACACATGCGTCTTCCCAAACAGTGAGCTGCTTGAAGGCAGACTGTACTTTTACCCCAATACCTATCCTCAGTGCCTAGACTATAATAAATTTTCAATAAATATTTCAATGAATGAATGGGGGAACTGAGAAACCACATGCCCGGACACTGCAATGCACTGCTAAGTGACAGACACCTCTGGTTCTAACCTGTAACACCACAGTTCTGTTTATGGACTCACTTGGTGCACCCCATCCATCCGTGGGTGGCTCCACTCCCTACGTGCTAGACCAAATGCTGGGCTACATCAATCTTTACTGCTTCTTCTGAGTATCTTTGCCTTTGCTTCTCAAGGGGTCACTTGCTTACTGGCCAATTGACAGTCCTCAGGTCTTCTCGATTCCGAAGGGCTCATTCTGGTTATACGGAGAAGCCAGGCTGTGTGATGCGGTGATTAAACATGCAGGTTTTGAAATATACAGATATGGGTTTGTTTGGTGTATGATGTTGGAAGAGTGACCTAGCTTCTTAGTGCCTGGGAAAATAGGGGGAATAATACTTCAGCTTGTTTTGAGGACTATATGGGTCAGGTCCCGGCAGGAAACTGATTTCACCCCAGGTTGTTCAAATGAATAGATTACTTACAGAAGTGTAAGCAACGATGAGAGAACAAACAAGGGTTAGCGAGGCACCCAGAGACTAGCCACAGTAGGAAGCCATTACTATCCCTTGGCTGAAAGGACAAAGTGGGAAACAGTTACCTGAACCCGCTGAGAACTGGAATCATGGCGGGGTGGTGGTGGGGTACAGGGCGCTATAGGGTGGAGGGACACTGCTAAAGCTGGAGACGCAGCCTGAAGCATGGAGGGAATGAAAAAGAATTATCCCAATGTCTCTCCCATCCCCACTTCCAATCACCTGCCGGTGTTATCCATTGGACAGAAACGGCAGTCAGGAGGCGAGGAAGGCTGGGAGGCGCGGCCTGCAGGGTTCAGCTTCCTAGCACACAGAGCAGGGCAGAGATGGCTTAGAGAAGGGGTCGAGGGGCCAAACAGAGACTAGGCAGCATAAGGATTAGTTGAGAAAATGTATACACTGTACTTTCCACGGGACCTGGCACATAGCAAGTGCTCAAGAAACAGTAGTGGTTACTATTAGTATTACTATGCTGCGAGGTCAGTGCGCATTCTGGTTATACCTGATGCCATCATAGCCCCTCTAAGCAAGAGCCACAGGGATCTGACTTCATCGTCGACAGGCCTTACTTTAGTAATGTGCTCTCTTTGGTCTGCTCAGTCTCACAGCTCTCTTTCTCCTGATACTGGGGCTCTAATTTCAGTCTGAAAATAGTCTCCGTTTTCTTCAGGTAAATTAGACTGTTTAATCTGCCCCCAGGTTTGGCGCAAGAAAAAATAATTTCTAAGCGAAGTTCTTTTGAGAAAACTGTCCATCTGGGCACCACAGATCCCTTTCCATATGGTCAGTTTCAAAGACTTTCCTTTTTCCCTTGTGAAAGATGACATGAGTGGAGCTATATTAAAATGGAGCCAGAGTAGCCATTTCAAAGGAATTGCCTTGCGTATCTTTTATCTTCCAAACTGGACCAAACCACCAACATTTCAAGAAGTCAGGACATCCTGTGGGTGAGGAGTGATGAAATTGTACTTTTGATAACCAATGAATCACTAACCAATCAATGAAGTACAAGTCTAGCCTTACCTCATTTAGCACCAATGAACTCTTCTCTAATACAACTCACCTCATCTTCCTCTTTTTCCCCATAAAAACCCTGAGCCCCTCTCCTGTAATTGGGACACCATTTGGGTTTCTACCTGCATTTGTGCTCCCTGAATTGCAATTCTTTGAGCCCAAAATAAATGTCTCTCTGCCTCTCATTTTGGCTCTTTATTTTTAGGTTAAAACTCTTATCTAATGAGCCCAGACAAAATGGCTATGCTAATGGAAACCGTTTTGCATTCCAACTGTTGCTGCCCCAGCATAAAACACACGATTTCATAAGGGCTTAAAAATGTTTTTTAAAACCCTTTACCTCACCGTTCTTCAGCTCGCTGCCGTCTTTCCTCTGCTTTGCCTTCGTCTCTGTCACTGGTCCAATGTGTCAGAGGATCTGATGCCCCCTGCCCCCAGTACTGCCTCTAATCACCACAGAGACTGCCGACACCATTCTCTTCCTTCTCTTGCCTTTCTTTTTTTCTCCTCTTAGGTCTCTCATCACATTTCCTGTCCTTCTCAGCTTTCACGTTAGAAGGCTGGTCTCTGAGTCAACACTGCCGGCCAATCAAACTGTTCCTGTCCTTCAAGGAGGCAAACTGATTAATCACCGGTGAGATAAAATCTTTGGTTCTTCGACTCTTGGCTGCTAGTTTGTTGCTCAGCGCCCAAAGTTTGAGATTTCTGAAAGGCTGAATGCGATCACTAACCTCCTTGCGCTGTAGTAGAAGTTGTGCAGTTTGGTGGAGCGTGTGCTGCAGGCAGCAAGTCAGTCAATGAAGCAGGTAAGGCTTAGGAAAGCAGAGAAATGTGACTGTAGGTCAGGTCTTAGATGGAAAACTCTCCCCTCCACCTCTTGGGGCAGGAAGGTGAACTGAGATGAAATAAATACTCAATCCTTTTTGAGCTCGGTGCCAGATACTTCCAAACAGCAGCTACAGTTCTTGGTGGGCCCTCAAAGGACTTCTCCCATTCTGTGCATAATGAGCTTCTATGGGTCAAGGGTTGGATGGGGGCCATTTAGCAAAATTTGACTAGGAGATCGGAAGTGACTTTGAGGTCTCTCCCAACGAAATCAGAGCAAGCCATCTCCCCTGGCGGGCTAAACCCGTGAAGGGGCCAATTTGTATATTAGCACTTAAAATTTTTCTTTTAAATATTAGTTCTTTGCGATAGGAAACTAGTTCAAGTTACAGAAATCAATGAACCTTAACTATAAAATGAAACTATAGCTACGTGAGTAAATTTCTTCTCTGCATCTGGAGTGAGATAACTTCTGATGAATGAAGGAAAAACTTACAGTTCACTTAGGTTTTTTAAATTGTATGTCTCTAACGTAAAATAAAGTGAATGCTGAACATTTTTAATTCAATATCGTGTTGGCTCAAAAAAGAAAACCCATGGGTCCTACCCTCAAAAAGCTGAAAAATTTGACGGATAAACAAGATAAAGTTCAAAAATTATTAGAACAATTTAAAACCAGGCATGTGCATACTTTATGAACCTAAATATTGGCTAAATAATTGAGCCTAAATTGTGTGGTCCTTAAAATATGTGCCTTGGATAATCATTATTAATGGCACATGAAATGCATGAATTTCATCATTCTTTATATATTCACTTAGACGACTTGTAATTTGAGAGCTATGTACAAAACAATGCTGTATATTGCTAAGGATCCAAGGTATAAATTTTGCCGTGAGAACTGGGCAGACAGGATTTAATAGGATTAAGCTTGGCTTTCAAAGTAAACTCTGAAAGGAACAAAGGAAATGCTCCTCATATTGTAACAAGCTCAGAAGCCACTGAGATGTCTTCATTTACCCAGCTTGTGCAGGACTCAGCTTCTGAAGATCTGAAAAATTCTATACTGAATGGCAATTGTTTTATTATTTATGAAAAAGGTCAGAACTAAGGTATGTTAATTTACAGATTAAGGATAACAGTTACCTAGACCCTCTTGCTATACCCAAGGACAAAACTAACAATAACCCACTCTTCAACCAAACAGGGTTTCTGAGAACTGCTAATCTGAAAGTTAGCTTTAAAAGGGGAGGGCGAGGGGGCTAACAACGCCCATCAACAATACATAAACTGTGATATATTCACACAATGGAATGTTACTTGGTAATAAGGAAGAGACTGTGAATACACTCACAACATAAATGTATCTCAAAAAATTGAAGAAAAATCAGACACAAAAGAGTACGTATTATATGATTTCATGTATATGAATTTCCAGAGCAAGCAACACTAATCTATGGTGACGGAAATCAGAACAGTAGTTACCCAGTGAGAGATTAACTGAAAAGGGGCATGAGGGAATTTTCCGGAGTAATGGAAAAGTTCTATACCTTTATTGGGGTTGTGGTTACCAAATCTCAAACTACATATTTAAAATCTGTGTGATTTTATTGAATGTAAATTATACTTTTTTTAAAAAGTACTATTTATCTACTGGATCTTAAAGTATAATCTACCACCGCAGAAAGCATCTAATGAATTTAACTATTATTAAAAACCAATGCAGGCCATTCAGAAAGCAAACATGAGCTTTAATTCACCGTGGGCATTTCTCTGACCACTCTCTACATTATAAACCTTCCACACGTCTTCACACAGATACATCCTTTATAAGACAGTTTTTCTACCAAGTACTGTGTACCACACCACCATTCCACTTAACCAGTTACGGGCGTATCATAAATATCATCAGCCACTGATTAAACAGAAATACAGAAGTTGATACAGATGTTAGAAAATTTAAATAAAAAAGTTTAAGAAAGGCTAAATACCATGAAAGTTTACATGTATTCTTTAATTCTAGATATCGCATCACAGTGACAACCAATTACAATAAAATCACAACTGCTTTTAGATGATAGTACATTCAGATTTCTAACATCCAATTATTTTCACTTCCACAATGATAACTCCACACTACATTTTCATTTCTACAGAGAGTAGACTGGTTTTTGGACTGCAGACCAAGTTTCTTGTGTAATAATAAGAATTACCACCTTGATCATGACCACACGAAACTAAATACTATATGGAGACAAGACTTTATTAAGTATATAATAAGATAGAACTCTTCCGTGATAGTGTTCAAAAGAAATTCAAACAGTAGCCTGAAAATGGGTTTTAATTGCTACTGCAGTCTATATATATTTCATTAAAAGATGAAGTCTCTGTCAAAACATTTAGAAATAAATATATAGTACAGCCTTCCCCCCTCCAAAATGCTGCCTGGAAGAAAAGTCCAAACTGACTTAAGGGGAAAAAAAAAAAGACCTCAGAAAACAAACATTCTATGATGTTCCAAGCTGCAATCTTCCTGAGTCTATTTTTCAACTGGAACAAGTTTTGCAGTCAGTTCTATATCACTTAAGCGTCCATAGTCCAAAGGGAGTCCTTGAACATCTAGTTCATATTCTACAGAAATCCAAAAAGACTTCTACAGACCCCTCAACTAAATTACTCAAGGGAAAGCTGATCACGGGTTATATTAAAATCTATGTGAATCTCAAACATAGTCATAACCCTTCTTTTAATGATGATAGAATAAATGATGAAAACATATGCACAGCTGTACACAGATCACCATTAAACACAAGAACAAAATGCCATTTGATGCATATCACATAAGCTCCCAAAAAGCCAATTGGTATATATTTATTTTCATGTACTTTGATACATCATTAGAAGTGACTGCATATAATTGCGGAGACTGCTGCAAACAACACTTGATGCTAAGTGTTCTACTAAATAAGCATCAGGCATGCACAATAGTTACCTTTTAAAATTTCTCATGTATATATCATATAACATTCCTAAGCTACAATATGTTTAAAGCATTTAGTAATTTTGAAATCAAATATTTTAATTGACCTATGTCTAAGTGGGGGAAAACCAAAAACTTCTTCCCCCATCTCAACACCAGTAACATTAAACCTTACTCCCTGAATTGATATTTAAAATTATTTTATATATGTCATCCTTAAAACTCCAAAAGTGATCAAAATTCTTATCATTACTAAATTAGAAGTATGATTTCCTGGCAGCAGTCTACCCACCACACACTTACAGCATGCGGAGCCTTTGGAGATTACATGATAAGAGTGATGTGCTGGTCGCTACAGATGACAGTAACTGAATATTATCAGTCTCTTCTTTTTATTCTGGATCTTTTTATTTCAAACTAAATAAAGCTTTTCATTAATACAAACTAAAAGAATTCTTTTTCCTTTTTTTTTTTTTTTAATTTTCTTTCTTTCTTTCTTTTTCCCCAAAGCCCCAGTAGATAGTTGTATGTCATAGTTGCTCATCCTTCTAGTTGATGTATGTGGGACGGGCCTCAGCATGGCCGGAGAAGTGGTGCCTCGGTGCGCGCCTGGGATCCGAACCCGGGCCGCCAGTAGCGGAGCGCGCGCACTTAACCGCTAAGCCACAGGGCCGGCCCATCTTTTTTCTTTTTTTAACATCATTGTAAGAGTAGATAAAACTAAAAACGTTTATTGTCTTCAAGCGAGTGACAAAATAGAAAATGTTTCCATTACATTAGGTACGCAGGGGTGGGGAAGGGAGGTTGCTTAGTTCTCTGTCATTTATGGCTTAAAGTACTGGATTTGAAAACCACTTCAGGTTAAATAAATTTATATGAATAATGCATAGATTGTATATCTAGGAAATCATGCAATAAATAAATGTTCTCAGGTACACTGGAATCTTAGTGACAAAAAGGGTCTGCAGGTGTGAACAGTAGCGTTTCTTCCCTTTTACCGAAAGAATACGTCCAGCATTTCGGCCCGTTCGAGATTCTATTTGCCAGGTCATTCTGATTTTCTCAGGTGGATAAAAGAAGCCAATGTCACAAGACATCTGCAACAAGGAGCTGACTTGCCTCAAGTGCAGGCGTCGCGAGATCCGAGCTAGGCAGGAGACTCCTGTGATCACACCACCCTGCTGCAAAGTCTATCTGGAGCACTTGACAAGCTAGAGTATCAAATGGGTAAATGCTCAGAATGACCCACTGGAAATGTTTACTGTATTAGTGCCTTTTAAAAATCTATCTGCCCTTTACATCTATTTCATTTGAGAATTGCCAGGGTAAGATCCACCCACTATTCCTGGTTTTGATAGGCCCCTACAACATGAGAATTGAACTGAACTACAATGATTGTAATGTCATCTCTGTACATCCGAGCAAGTTCTTCAGGAAGACTAAGCATTTTGGAGAGGCGCTCGTGATCAACAGCCCCAAACTCATTGTTGCCCACAGCGTGGCGAATGAGATGGGTTGCTGCATTCTGATCCTCAAATACCGAGGACATCTTGGCTCTCCTTTCTGTTAAAAGGCCATGCATCTGTCCCAAAGTCACCTTGTAGCCACCAACAGCTATCGGCTGTTGGTGATGCATGCCTGTTAGGTACTCACCCACAATCCTGACCACATCCTGCCTATGCATTGTCTCCCACAACCCATCAGTAGCCAACACCAGAAACTTATCCTGTGGCCTTAATCGGTGGTAAGTTACCTCTGGCTCAGCAGTGAGATAAGGAGGTGTGTAATAATTAGGAGGGATAAACTTGGTATATTCATTGTCATTCAACTGGTCTGGGCCAGATTCTATCACTCTCTTTTGAAGGTCAATGCTCCATTTGAACTTGACATCTCCAAAAGCCCTAAAAGGCATCAGCAAGCCAAGCAGCCGATCTTGTTTCACCACACTCTTGGCCTCATTCTTCGGGTGTTCCAATTTCAGCCGTTCCAGTTCTCTTTCATTCTGAGCATTGTGGTCGTTAGAGAGAGTGACTGCCGACCAAGAGCCGTCCTCTTCCTGCACACCCAGCATGGCTCTGCTATCACCGGTATTGGCCACATGAAGGTCAACACCATCCACATGGGCCACACAAGCAGTGGCCCCAGAAAATGCCACTCGAAGCACCAGGTAGTTGAGGAAAGAATTGGGATCGCCAACTTGAGCCTCCAAGGAAATGTCATTATCAAGCCTCTTGAAAGCATTAATTAAAGCCTCCTTAACATCAATATCAGGTGACTCCCCAGTGTTGAGGTCTATAAGCTCCTGCCAGTAAGTCCTCAGGCTGTTAAAATACAATTTGGACGCCTCCTTACTGAAGTAATCATTGGGGTGCTTGTGCCACTGGAGAATGGGTAGCAGTGCCCGACCACTCTCCACTGCATTTTCAATCTCTAGCAAAGTCTCATGGGGTAACAAAGAGACAGCAATATAATAAAAGAGCCTTTCACTGACTGCCTGGGAACAAGCACAGCCTGCATGGCCGTCAAAAACCCCCAAAAGCATCCCTCTGGTCTGCAAGCAGGTTGCCGCACTTCTCCGGTCCTCGATGGGTGCATTTGCAGGCAGCTGATTGCTGTCAAATCCAAGGACAGAACTGACATTTTTGCCATCAAATTCTGGCACTTTGAAACTATATTCATTAGCTTTCAGGATGCTGTTGACTTGAGGAGGAGTGAGGTAAAATTTCTGCGGTGTGGAAGCATATCTCCTTCCTTGGCTGTACTGCCACCAGTTCTCCTTTGGCCGGCAAAAGGTAGCATATGCAGGGTGGGGTGTGTATCTCAGGCGACTCTGAGGAAGGTAAGGAGATGAACAGCAGAGATGTTTATGGTGGCAGTAACATGCAGTGCCATAGATTCTGCTCAGTTCACAGTTACGGATCAGAGGAAAAAGCAGTTGAGTTGGTGCTGGCATCGCATCAGAGATGAGTGGCAGGCCAGAACTTCTGACTGGGATTCCTGGACAGCAAAATCACACAGACACACACAAAAGAAAAGAGTTACATTTCAGACTACTTCATCTATCTTTCCTTTTATAACAAATAGTTAGCAGGTGAATCTACATGCTAAAATAAACCCAGTGCTGGGAGGCAGTATATTTTATCCAGCTATGATGTGCTATTTCTACAGGGTAGATTCTGCTAGGCACAGCTCCCAATCATTTATGAAGCCAGGACTGAACTGTAATCTGGTTCTACTCTTCTCTTTTCTTCACAGTGCTGTGTGCAGCACCGAGTGTGCAGAATGTACAACAGACTTGGCTGGGGAAGCTGAGGAGACGATGGTTATATAATGCGATGCAGTGGCAGTCTACCTGGCCAATCACCCTTCTCCCTCTCTGTCCTTAACAACGGCCTTAGATTTCCTATCGCACAGGGATTTCTCCCATTTACAAAGACCCTGTTTCTAGCAATTTTTAGCATCTGATTACACATGGCCATCACCAAAAAAGTGTTAGGATACATCCCCAACATATGCATATTCATGAACTATTTTGTAAGTTATACACATACGCTACTGTATTAATATAATGTTCATTATAATTTATACAGAAAAAACTTTACATAATGAATAAAAATAGAAATTTCAATATTCCCTTCCTGCACCCAAGTGGATAGTCTTGCAAACAATGCTTCTCTAGACCACTGTGCCAATCTGGCAAGCTTAGGGACACAGGTCTGTCACCAACTTGCCAAATGATCCTGGAAAAGCTGGCTTAACTCTTGGGGCCTCACTTCTCTAAGCTGCAAGTAAACACATGGGAGCAGATGCTGTCTAAGGCCGCCTCTAGGACTCCACATCTTCGTGAAAAGTGTCTGTTGAAGGGAGGCTTTGAAATACAAATGCAGGTTTCATTTATTCATTGTTTAATTTTACTGTATCCTTCATGACAAAAATGTTTAAGTATTTTAGTAGCTCTAAAACTTTGTTAGTAACATAAATGGTCTCAGTTCTAGAATTTAATTTACTTGCTAGCATTTTCCTCTGTTTACCAGCCATATGGGGAAGATATAGAAATATTACTTACATCTATTATGAATCCCAAGTAGAATTCACCCCTAGGAAAATATTTTCTCTTACATTAAAAAAAGAGGGGGGGGTATCTATTTGCCCTCGGAAAGCAATAAAAAGTGAAAATAATAGTCTAATAGTCTAAGGTTTGGATAAATAAGTACAACATTATAATAGTGAATAAGAAAATCATATCACTGACTATATGACACTGAACATATTTTACTGGGCATTTATCTAGAAAATTTAACGAATGTGTATTATTAATCCAGATAATTTATGCAAGAAAAAAAATCCCTCTTCTTCCTCAATAACATATATTTCCCCTGAATTCTTGAGGTATTGCCTCAAAGTATTCATTTGGCCTATAAAGAAATAGGTTTTAGAAATACTTTAAATAAGGAACAAATGCAATAAACAAAAAGGAATAAGGAAAATAAAACCACTTGAGTCTTAATATGAACTATTCCGTCCTAAGGTTGAACCCATTACGAAAAAAAAATTACAAATATCGAGAGTGTCAGCTATACATTACATTATTTTCATGTACCCTCTTTTGAAGAGTAATTTGAGAAGTGGTAAGTGGGATGTAAGAGAACAGAGAAAACCAAACACTGAAGGGATTCCTGTTTGCTTCTGTAATAAGCACTACTTAAACCAGTCATATAGAGCCCCTGTTGCAAGTGATAGCAAGTACCATTATTTTAACTGCACTATTTAAGAAGGGATTTGTTTACATAACTGAAGATAAGATTAGGCAATAGAAGGTAAGGATTAGAATTTTGGAAGTAAGATCAACAACTAAATAACTATTAATGAAAAACAGAAATTCCAGAAGAACAGGAATCTATCAAGGCTAACCACTTAAATAACAGCACTTCAAACTGAACACCCGAAAGTCATCCAAAGGTTAAGTGTACATGACTGAGCCAGGAGATGGGCTCATATGCTGGGCCACATGACACTGGCTTCCAGACATAAACCAAATCTCTGTGAGGTTTGCATGCAGAAAGCACATTAACTCATTTCATGCTTTGTATCAAGATTTTCTATTATTAAAAATGTAAATAGATGCCAATGTTAATGAAAAGAAATTTTCTCCATAACTTTATACAAGTTTGCATTTGTGCTTATATTAAAATTCAAGCACCTTAGGAAAAAATAATGTGTGTTTCTGTATGGAATGCAGATTGAATCAAAGTACTACGTGTGTGTGTGTGTGTGTGTGTGTGTGTTGTGGGGGATTTAATAGCCGCATAACAGGGTTTGGTTATATGACGTCTAATCAAGAACTAAGTCCAGGAAACCTGTGCTTTCCTTAAATTCCTTTGTTTTGACAGTTTTTCTAGTTAACTGCAAAATGAATGAAATATTGTGGCCAAAAAACTAATGATTCATGCAGCAGATGCTCTGAATAATACATCAATTCAAACAGCAAGCACTCAAATAATACACTACCTTCTTCCTTCAAGGCGAAAGTTCCCAAGATTAAAAACAAAAAAGCCGAGAGTGAATTTTATCAACTGTTATCTTTCAGTTACTTAGGAGTTTAGCATATGGACTGAGATTGTATCCTAATCCCCCAACTCCCAACATGCCTTCAAAAGACAAATTCTTAGGGAAGTTGGAATTCAAGAAAACCCTGCTCCGTGATTCAAGAGCATTCCATCACCACAGTACAACTGATAGATTCTCTCCAACAGACCAGATACCCTTAGAAGTCAAATGCTTTCATAAATCACGAGCATTCAAAAACTCTGAGTATCTTTCTGAATGTCCTGTAATTTAATGACAACAAAAGCCCACGAGATCAAAACTTTTACTGATAAACTTGCTAAATTAATGAAGCACAAGGCTCTTGATCAGGCAATAAGAACAGCGACACAGTACAGTTGTAAATTGGAGCAGTGTAAAATTTTCAAGTTATTTCTATTCACATTTTCACTGAAAAGTTCCTATCCCATGGTGCAGACTCAGCCACATTATATGCAGCATCTTAGTCGGATTTGGCCGATTTTAGCAGATTTGGCCGATTTTGCCAATGACTAATAGGAAAGATGCGCTGCAACCAGAAACAGGGGAGAGACCCATCCATTCTTACTAATGTGCTCGGCAGAGCCTGTGCCAAGAAATGATTCCACTTCATCAGTAAACCCACGGAGCAAATTAATTAGAAAATTCTGTTACTGCACTGACTCTGGAGCTCTTTAGCTTTGCAAAGCTTTTGGTGTAAATGAAAATAATGCTATACTAATCGTTAAATGTGCCGGAACCTCAGTGTACCTAATTTGATTGCACTAAACACCAAGCATAAAGACTCTTCGTGATTTTTTACCGTTTTCTGGAAATGCCTAGCCATTTCACAGCTCCCGTTATCTTTCCACGAATGAAGAAACAGGTTTCCTTCGGAAGACACGAAGCCCCAAGCCAGTATTTGTTTGATTAGTTTCCTTTGTCCCTATCTGAGAACCGCACTCACTAAGGCATCAAAGCTATCCCGGTCCAGGACGCCTTTGTCCCCTTTTTCTACCTACCTCACCCCTTAATTCCACGGCGACCCACCTAAAACCATCCACACACAAAATCAGTCACCATCCTTCCTGGGTACCCAACGCAGGTAGTTAACTGAATACCTACCAATTCGTCTGGGCCCGGGACACACACACATTCTCCTGTCATCACAACACGGAGCCGACAACATCCACAACCCGCGCGGGCAGCAGCAGCGACAGCAGCACCGGCCCATTGAAAGCAAAGCAGATATGCTCATTAGAAGAGGCGGCGGCGGGGGAGGCGGGAGCAGAGGAGGGGCGAGGTCTCGCTCCAGCCCAGTGAATGGGGCTGGGAGGGGGGAAGAGGATGGAGGAGGGAGAAAGGGGTGGGGAGAAGAAGGAAACCAAACCACCCCACCCCGCGGGAGAGGCAGAGTCACAGCCCGAGGCGGCGAGGGCCCACACGCGAGCAGAGACGCGCCCCGGGAGCGGCCCCTCCATCCAGCCCAGGCACGCAGCCCACCTGAGCGCGGCATCCTCCGCTCGCGGCCCGCCCCGCCCGGCCCCACGCGGCGCCGCCTTCCCTCCAGAAGACCAGGGGTCCGCCCGCGGCCGTCCCTGTCCGCAGGGTCACCCCTGACCCCGCGGTGTGTAAGGGGGGACCCTCAGGCAGAGACGCCGCGCCGCCTCTCCCCGGAGTCCCCCTCCCGCGGG